AACCATTCTATAATTCTATGATTCTATGAAGTTCGCCTGCAGCCCGTGGTGGGATGGCAGGCTGTCCCCTGGCAGCCCACAGAGATTAACGGTGGAGCAGTCTGCGCCAGAGCAGGTGACTGCACCCGAAGAAGGCTGTGATTCTGAAAGAATTCTGAAAGAATCCCACAGGAGCTGGAGATTAACTGTGAGGCAGTCCGTGAAGACCTGTGGCTGTGGAGGACCCAGCACTGGAGCGAGAGACGGCACCTGAAGAAGCTGTGACACTGTGGGAAGCCCTCACTGGGGCAGTCTGTTGGTGAAGGACCGCACCCTGTGGGAGGGACTCATGTTGGAGAAGTTTGTGAAGAACTGTCTCCCGTGGGAAGGGATCCCACGTTGGAGCAGGGCAAGAGTGTGAGAAGTCCTCCCCCTGAGGAGGAAGGAGTGGCAGAAACAATGTGTGACGAACTGACCACAAACCCCGTTCCCCATGCCCTTGTGCTGCTGGAGGAGGAGGTAAAGCCAGGAAGAAGGGAGAGGTGGAGGGAAGGTGTTTTTAAGATCTGGCTTCATTTCTCATTAGCCTCTCTGATGTGATTGGTAATGAATTAAATTGATTTCCTACCCCCGCACCCCCCAAGTCGAGTCTGTTTGGCCTGTGACCATGATTGGTGAGTGATCCCTCCCCATCCTTGTCTTGACCCGTGAGCCTTTTGTTATATTTTCTCCTCTCCATCCCACCAGAGGGGAGGAGTGAGCGAGCAGCTACGTGGTACTTAGTTGTTGGCTGGGGCTAAACTTCAACAGAAACCTGGCTGCAACATCTTTCACGAAAACTTCCATATTTTGATGTTGAAAAGTCTTGACAGCCTTTCGTTTTTACACTACAGAAACTGTGGGAACCGTTAGACCATAATGTCATTACAGTTTCCTTTGTCATCACCGGAATGTAGTTGACAGGTAACAGCAAATCTGTTTGCTATGTTCTCAGATGCTACACAGGAAATCCAAACACATTTTGACCTTGTCAGTGGGTGCCATAATGATTTTAACATGGAAGTAACATTATTAACTGATGCTTAGAATCTCACTTCAGGGGAAAAAAAAATCTTCAAGAAAAAAATACTTTATTTTGCAAGTAGGACAAAAAGTTACAATTCTAAGTCAGAACCTTGAAACTTTTCATGGGTCAACCAGATCTTTTGCTGTTTATTAAGGGATGCCATCTGTTCTAGTCCCATGTAAGCTGTGTGTTTCACAAGCATTAGAGTGTGTAATACATAATGCTTCTAAAATGGATCGTCACATCTCAAACAGTCTGGAAGAGATGGTAGTTGTCAATTATTTTCTTCATGATTTTGAGTGCGGATGTCGTGTGGTCATCTGCAAGATAGAGGGAAACATTAAACCTCATGGTTGACATAGTTAGCAAGGATAATATTTATTATTTAACTATTGAAGTATGTTAATTCTAAATACTAGTGACTTTGGTTTTTTTCTGCCTAATTTGCTTTTTTTTGCCAAAGTTTAACCCCTGTATTTATTGTTCTGCTGGTGGGTGTCTTGATGGATATGAGAAAAAGATTATTTTCTGATTTTGCAGCAGCATTTATGTACTTGAATACAGGTGTCATTTCCGATTTGTTCACTTTTTCCCTATAGTTCATATTTTTTATACTTCTGACCATTCTTGTCATTCTTTGTATTCTGTCATATTGACTTGTGTTTTTCTAAGACTATGGTGCCTATAATTGAACATGGACCTTTATTTGAGGCCATTCTAGTGCTTAATAGGGAGGAATTAATTTCATGTGTCTTAAGGCTAATGCTTCTGTTTGTATATCTCAATATAATTGCCTTTTACAAGACAGAATAATACTAATTCAGCTTTTGGTCTCTTGCTGCCTCTGTATCTTTTTGTCCAATTATCTACCAGTGTGTGTTTGTATAATTGCTTATTCCTTATTAAGTGTAGAACTTTGTTAATATTGAATTGCACAGGATTTTTTTCAGCTCATTCTTAAAATTAAGAATAACACTGAATTCTTAAGTTACCATCACAGCCTGCATGCCTGTTACTAAATTCATGGATGGCACAAAAATAAGAATATGCTAATAGGAAATTTAGGGAAAATAAATTAATTCTCTTATACCTAAACCAGACCTTGCAAATCCTCCTCAGATATATTCTTCCATTTTGTTAGTGAAACACTAACTCCTCTCAACACAGTTTTGAAACAGGTTGCTCTTCTGTTTTGTAGAAGTTATATCTTACCCCATGTTTTCTGAGTTCCTCTATGATAACTACAGAAGCTAATAGAAGACAAGCCAAGGCAAAAGCCAGCATCAAAAGATGTGATATTTCCTGCTTCTGCCAGTCCTGTGAAGCCTGTTTCATCATCAAAACCAAATGATTATTTGAACACCGTTGTTACTGAGTGACAATCAGTATGATTTTTGTTGTATCTTTTTTTCTTGTGTGTGCCTAGAAACAACTCTTGTGATTTGATCCTGTATTTCTAGAGATTAAATCTTAACTGATCAGTGTAATTCCCTGCCTCTCCCTTCCTCTCTGTTAGAAGATGTGAACTCTCTTCCTGACATGTTTTGGGATGTTTCTTGTCCTCTGAAAGACAGTCTCTGAGCGTATTGGCACTCAGTGAAGTCTGAGTAGCTGAAGATGGCTATCACCCAGGCCTGGTGATAGCCACTAGGGTCAGGGAGGTATGTGTTTGGGGCTCTTTGCACTCACCCACTCCTCCAGATGGTGTTTAGGATCTGAACAAACACAAGATGATACATGTTGCCACTTCTCCTTCAGCTGAAGTGATGGGTGGAGGGAGAAGGTGGCAAGTGGGGAGAGCTTGATTAGTACAGATGGTGTGAAGGTTGTGCTGAATATAAATACTAAGTGTAGGTAGTTACCTTGGATCCGTTAGGGTTTATAACTCTTGGCTTAATAGCAGCGCTGAGGACCTGAGGTGATTCTGCTGAGCTGAGTGCTCTGGCAGCTCTGCAGTGTTCTCCAGTGGCCTGTTTCTACGAGGGTTTGTTAGCTCAACAATGGTAGAGAAAGTGCATGGATCTGGCTCAGTTTTGGCACTCTGTCCAAGGAAATGGCCTCATGAAACCTGGAATGCTGAGTTAGTCCAGCACAAATGCCCAAGTGTCTCACCTTGGTTTTGTAGTGCTGTGCCGTAGCTAGTGAGTATACTTGAGGCAGATAATCTGCAAGAGACACTTTCAAATGGCAGACACCGATTTCATGTTTATGACTTTTCCTTTTCTAGAAAATCTTTCTTGTTGCCTGCCTTTTGCTTTAATCTTAGCAGCTGTACTGCCATCGCACTTCGCTGTTATTCTGAGAAGCAAGGCACAACCATCTTCCTTTATTTCATGGTGCTCTTAACCACTTACTTGGAATTCAGACAACATGCTGGCCAGGCATGTGTAGCTGTCTGCCTCCCTTGCCCAGTCACCGATGTGCTGTTGCACCTGCTGGTGCCCATATAAATAAGATGGGATAAGTGATGTGCCGAAAGTCTGTGGAGGTTAAGTTAATTAAAGTTATGAACTAGCGTATTTTTTTAGGATGTGCTGTTCTCAGAATGTGATTTGGTGATGCAACTGAGCCAAGCTTAACTAAATGCAGGCTGTACTGAAAACTGCAGTCCTGCTTTACCTGCAATCCTTGTGTTCCTTCTGCTTCCCTTGTGCTGGCACTAGTGCTGACTCATCCTATGGTGAGCTAGTTTAGGATACTGATTTGGCAGAAAATTACTAATTTATGACATTATTTTTGCCAACTTAATTCTTAGACTGACTCAAGGTTAGAACAGGTGAGTGCCACAGTGTGTGGAAATGGAAGGGAGCAAAAAGTCTCCTTTCATCAGTAGTATGCAGCCAGATTTGTTAAGGCAAGTTTGAAGCATTTTGGAAAACAGATACAAAATACTTATATCTTCATTTACAGGATTTATAACTCAACAGGTGAAACATCATGCTTTGATCTTCTTAGTCTGCATTGAGAATTTGTTTGAGATGCTGTTGAAATAAGTCTGGCTGATTTGGGATCTCTATAGAAATCTTTATTTATGTAGTTTTGTAGACCTGATGGCTTTCATCTGTTCTATTGTGCAGAATTTGTTTTATTCCACTCAAAATCAAACTTTTTCTGGAATATACAAGTTATTTTAGAGTTTTATTTTCATTATTCTTTTATTGATCTCTACTTAGGCTTTTCTGTAGCATTCAGGATAGCACCTTCACTTTAGTAACCTAGTTTAGATTGAGAATAATATTATGCAAGTATATTTTTTCACAATATTTTGTAACAAACCCGCTGTTTATGGTTTTTGCTTTTGTTAAGAAATTTGTCATAGATCAACTGAAAACTCTTTAAGTTTGCTGCTGCATAAGTACATTCATTCTTTCAATTGTTTTCCC